AAGACGGTGACCGGTAGGACTCTTTTCAACCTAATGTACGGGATAGAGGGTGTCATCCCAACCGAGGTTGAGGTGCCAACCTTGCGGTCTGAGACGTATGATGAGGAGGCTAACGAGGATGAGCTACAAACTAACCTTGACCTGGTGGAAGAAGTCCGTGACCTACCCTATATCTGGATCGAGCTCGAAGTCTTGACATACAGTGTATATACATGTGGGGTCCAAGAAAAGAGGTAAGAAAGTTAGACATTCTGGGGATCGTTTGCCTCAACACCCTCCACACCGGCATTAGATCCGTCATCTGCACCGTCACCGACCACATCGACCTCATCCTTCTCCTCGGAGTGAGGCTCTTGATCAACTTGACCCATCATCTTGTCAGTGCAAGCCGAGGACTTTGATTTACTAAGGTTGAACTTTGGGCACACTGAGGCCACTAGCATTCGACACAGTTTGAATCTTTGACGAAAAGAGTCAGACTGAACACCTCCCTTTCCTTCAAGAAGCCAGGCAAAGTCTTGAACTCATCAACTGCAGGAACCTCGGTAGCATGGACGTCGTTGAGGAACTTCGGTCGTTGATTGGTGAGCTCGACTTCTTTCTCTTACAACTTCTATTCCTTGAGCCCATGCTCCTTGGTCAGCTTCTCAACCTCCCTCGTCAGGTCTGCAATGCAAATCCGCTCCTCCACGAGCTTGTCCTTTAGGTCGCCAATGAGACGGACAACCCACTCAATTCAGGACCTATACTCTATCGCTTCCTCCTCGGCAGTTTGGACCCTCGCCAAACTTCCCTCAGCATGCCCCCAACAAGGAATGTGCCAAAGTGTTCGCCTATAAAAGAGAAAAAAGGGAAATAAGTTTAGAATGGAGATCGTAAAGAATACAATGGAAGGTCGGGAAGATATTACCATTAGGTAATGCATAAGCTTTCCACCAAGCTCATTGGGATGTGATTTGAGAAGCCTATGACCTCTTTGAGAAAGACAACCTCCTTGCTCTTCACTAGGGCGGTCCAGAAGTCCATGATGGTGTGCCTCTCCTCAGGATCAGTTTCGACGTTCGAACCATAGGTCGCCTCAATCTTGGATGGTGGAAGGGGTTCCTCAGATGTACGGGTGGCCTCGGGCTCTAGCGAGGTCCTTTTTAGCTTGTCTTCCTCAACCAAGTCAACTACCGGTACGACCTCAACAACACTTCACATGACAGTTTTTGGAGCACCGACTTGAGGTGCCTCTTGGTGAGCCACCTTCCTCTTCTTCCTTTTTCATAGACTGGAACAACCCGAAAGTTGGCATACCCAACATGTTTCCTACATGAGAAATCTATGGGTGAGATGAACTATAAAAAAATGAGAGAAAGAAAAGAAGGGAAATGCCCAAGGCTCAAATGACGACCTACCCAGAGGGCTCAGCCCAGCCTAGATCAACTTCTCCTCAACCAAATACTCACTCAACATTGACTTCCGGTCCACTAGGACTTACACCCTCACCTACATCCGTTTACTCAGAGTTTCCTCCCTCGTGTCCCCCATTCCCTCTCTATAAGTTGTCAAGAACGACCATCTGCCATTTCGGTTAATGAAGAAATACCTCCTCTTCCAGGCCGATACTTTGGAGGGTAAGTCGCTCAGCATCTTACACACAGGGCGGTAAGACAAGTAATAACTATACATCCCAGGAGTACTTGAAGGATTTTTCCTTATATGGCATATGTTGGCAAAGGTCTTAAGATCTAGGGGGAAGCTGTCGAGGTGACAGAAGGAGATGGTGCCGACCAAGGTCCTAATAGAGTTGGGGCAAAGCTGATCTAAGCTAATGTAATAATAGTTCAGCACCTCGGGAATAAGTAGATGAAAGGGGAATTGAAGACCTGCTTTCAGGGCCTCCTAGAAGACAACGACTTGGTCTTTCTCGTGCTCCCACGGTACTGCCCAAGGGGAAGGTAATATCTGAATTGATTCGGAACCCTATATCAGGCATTGAGCTTGTAGATCTTCTCAACAGAGAGCTTAGTGGGACTGAACTAGTTTGGTGCTTGAACCCTATAGGAAGATGAGACCCTCTTGTGAGAACCTCGTCGGTCTTGAGTTGAGGTCCCTCCCTCGGCCTAGAAGGATGGACCCCTTTCTTCCCTAGACTAACTATCAGAGATTATGAACAAAACATAACTAAGGGAGATGACTCACCTAGGACAAATAAAGTGACCTCGTCGACAACACCAATAACTCTAAAAACGTCGAGCTCCGTGATCTCACCAGAACTTCAAAGATAGGGACAAGAGAAATGGCCCCCCAAGAGTCCTATTTATAGACGGATGAGCTGAACTATGGACGGTTGAGATTAGATGGATCCAACGGTTCATAAGGACGTGACGGTTCGTATTTTGAGGAGAAATCGGTTTAGCGCGCTTTTGACGTCCACGCATCCCCGGTATGCTACCTTGTACCTAAGCTTGATTGATTGAACCAACCTGATCCCAAGCCATTGGTTGGGCCACAATTGAGGACAAAACTCAAACCAAATCACCTCGGGTTAAGACTACTCCCTCGCTGGACTTATCACATCAGATTTGGGAGTGGGGGGCAATTGATGAGGGGTAATTTGGTCTTCCAATGATATCACGACACGTGGCATTGCAGAGCAACGAAGTGACACCTTGGCACCATGTAAGTGGACCCCAGGAGCACCTCGGACACTTCACAACTGCATTGATGACCTTGAGACCACCCTAGTAGGTCGAACTACGAATAACTAGGCAAGACCTCAGGTCGGTGTAAGAGGTGATTTTCTTCCATCGATCTACCTGACTCTCGTTAGCGACTTGCCTAATGTGCCGAGCGACCTCCCCCTTAAGCGGACTATCACATCCGAATTCCTTACGATTGCAACACCACGTTGGAAGAGCTGGTTATCACCCTGCCCGCTTCGAGCGGGATTGGATAAACATTACATGCTAACATGGAGTCCACCTCCAGGCATGAAACCACCTCCGAACCAGATGGGGCGGAGACCTCGGATGCATTTTATGAGGCTCACGGTAGCTCGCCTATATAGGCGCCTAACCTCCAACCTTGTAAGGTATGCGTAATTTAACTCTCACAATTCACTAGCTCTTTAATTCTTTCGCTTTTAGCTCTCTCAAAGCTGTTCGCTAATTTAAACATCGAATTACCCACCCGGGTAAAGCAACCAGGACACTCTAATTATCGATTTTTTGCAATTCGACTAGACAACCTACTCAATCTGGCGTCCAAACTATTTGTCAGCACCAAATCGGGCACCATCTGGTGGATATGGATTTGCTAGACATGCATAGTCCTTTTGCGAACCAACCTGCATGCGCAAATGTGGATTCTCATTTCAATCCGGAATGATCCAATGCTGATATCTATATCGGGTTCTCCGGTCAGAGATGCTATCTGTTTATCCGGATATGACTGGATACACTATTAATCCGACCCGTTTCGTACCCAGTCCAACCTGGCTTGCAGTCCAAGGTGCTTTATTTTATTTTCGGGGAACCGCTAATAAAGCAATTGGAATCTGTCTGTCTTTTATTCTCCGGGCAAAGATGTAGCCTTCCTTTATCAAAGGTTTGTGAAATAATTGAAGAACTCATCATATGTTTTGATCCCACTATGTTTCATACTCTCCTAGTCCAACTCTATCTCAAGCTAATCTGATCTTCATCAGGAGTCAGGACTACCTGAAAAAGCTAATGTAACTCACTAATTCAATGATGGAGGCCCTCAGTTTCGCAAGTTGCCCATGTAAGAAAAACGGGGGAGGGGTTGAACAATTTGGACTCCTCTGAATTCTTACATCTTACCTGGGTTTGTGCTAAGGATTTTGCTGGTTTGGGCTTGGGGTAGTCTTAACCCGGCCCAACCCGACTATATTGCACATTGAACAGTGTTATCGAGATGCTTTCATGACCGTCGGATCCCTTACATTGTTAAAAGGATAAAAGTCATATAAAGACAAAAGAAAATCCAATTACGGACCCACTTTATCTTACTGTAATAAAATAGGAATCGGATCTGACACGCAGATCGAACCCTGTATTCCTCTACCTTCTTACGGTCTTAACGCAGGCACGTAATTGCTTTCTCTTTTTGGATTGAATTACGGAAATCGCCCTTCTCCTGTCCCTTGCATTACATCTCTCCACTGAAAGAGAGGCAGGGTTATTTTGATTATTTACCTTGACGACCCTCCGTCTCCGATTAGTAAACCCGTAAGCTAGGGCACGAGTCGTCAGAAGATAACCGCAGTACGGTAAATCGTCTCGTAAAAGACAAGTAATTACTTTGCGTGAAATCATGCGGTAGTACGGTAAATCGTCACTTTCGATGAATCTCATACCGTCTAAAGCCTGTGATAGACATAGTAGATATGATCATATGATTATACCCAATCAAAGAGACCGCTTTATGCGTATGCATTCCGTTTGCGATGCGTGTAATCGGCGACTCCAATTTTGGTATATACAGTATACGAAGTATTTTACTCTTTTACTCTCATCCTCCAAAATACAGACATTTATGACGTGTCAGTTAAAGCGTAGAAAGTGGGCAACGAGCTTGCTCTCGTTGTAAGCAGCTCCCACGTTCATCCTTCCTTGTCAGTGCAATTCGACAACAAACAACTCACGAACATGTACTATACCAAAAAATGAGAGCAGACTCGTTGTATCACCACTCATAACTTCGTAACAAGATTACTCTCGACAGCTCTTAAGCGCGGGGTCCACATTTCATCTGATCGATGGGTCTAGACTAGTGTGGTGGCCCAACACATGAGTCAACAAGTACCGTTTAAACAGGTGATCCAACGATCAGTGGCCGAAATTGATTAATCAGCGAAGCAATGTGTCAGAAGGGGTCTTTGGTTATTTTACAAAAAAATTAAGGACGTATTCAGAGTTTCATTACTTGTAATGTATAGAAAATGAATTAATAAAAATGGTTCTGCAGTGCTTCTGCTCATTCCATGCTTCCATCATTCCATGCCCTCGGAACATAACAAATTGCAGGTCAATTTGCGGGAAAACCATGCACGGGAAGAACAAACACACCCGCCTTTATTTTAACAAAAGCCCAATATTTCTCCCGAAATTACACGTTTACCCACTCTTTAACTCTCAAAATTCTCTTCAGCTCTAAAGGCCGAAAGACACTACAGACTTCAGATCTCTGCTTCTCCGTTTCTCCGTTGCAGTTGCAGAACCAAAAACAGAAAAATGGCGAATACTAATTTCGCCTTTATACATTTCGTTCTTTACCTTCCTCTTCTCCATTTTGCATATTCTCAGGCCTTTTCAAATCCTGATTATGAAGCTCTAATGGCGTTCAAAACAGCTTCAGATACGTCCAACAGGCTTAGTAGCTGGAACCAGACCGCCGATCCATGCACCTGGTACGGCGTTTCGTGCCTCCAGAACCGCACTTCTCGTCTCGTTCTCGAAGGACTAGATCTTCATGGCAGTTTCGACCCGTTAACCAAACTGAACCAGCTCCGCGTCTTAAGTCTCAAGAGGAACCGCCTCTCTGGCCCTATCCCCGACCTCTCTAACCTCACTGCGCTCAAACTTCTTTTCCTCTCCTACAACGAGTTCTCTGGAGATTTCCCAGCCTCCGTACCCTCGCTTTTCCGCCTTTACCGTCTCGATCTGTCTTACAACAATCTCTCCGGTCAAATTCCAGCTACCGTCAACCGTCTTACGCACCTTCTCACTCTCCGGCTCGAAGAGAACCTGTTTTCCGGTGGAATTTCCAGTTTGGACCTCCCGAATCTTCAAGACTTCAATGTTTCTGGAAACCGCCTCACTGGACCCATACCCAAGTCCTTGTCCGGTTTCCCGGAAGCCGCTTTTGCGCGGAATCCGGTTCTGTGCGGGTCACCGTTACCGAGCTGTAAGAACATTGTGAGCGACCCAAGCAAGCCTGGATCTGAAGGAGCGGTGGCGTCGCCAGTAAGTCCTCTAGACGGAAGTCAGGGAGTAGTTTCATCGTCGCCTAGCTCGAAACCGGAGGTAATGGAGTCCAGTACTACGGCAAATGATCGCCACAATGGAACCGGGAGGATGAGTATACTCGCCGTGGTAGCCATTATACTCGGCGACATTTTGGTGCTCGTGCTCGTCTCATTCCTGTTATACTGCTACTTCTGGAGAAATTATGCGGTAAAAATGCGAGACGGCAAAGGGTCCCAATTACTAGAGAGCGAAAAAATCGTATACTCGTCGAGCCCGTACCCTTCGCAAGGCGGATTTGAGAGAGGCAAAATGGTTTTCTTCGAGGGCGTAAAGCGGTTTGAGCTGGAGGATTTGCTCAGAGCTTCTGCAGAAATGTTGGGGAAGGGTGGTTTCGGAACGGCGTACAAGGCAATTCTGAGTGACGGTAACGTGGTCGCCGTTAAACGGCTTAAAGAGATTCAAGTTGGAGGCAAACGTGAGTTCGAACAGCACATGGAGATATTGGGACGGTTACGGCACCCCAACGTCGTTAGCTTGAAGGCTTATTACTATGCTAGAGACGAGAAGTTGCTTGTCTACGAATACATGCCGAACGGAAACTTGTACTGGCTCCTCCACGGTAAGTCAAATTCCTCCTATTCAAGAGCAGTTTACCGTTAAACTCCAAATTATACTGGTTTTCCAACAGTTAAAATTTCTCGTAATACTGAATAACGAGGACGTCGAGGAGAATCCATCCCTCACCTTCGTCTGTTCGTTCCTTTTTTAACTGGTATGGTTTCCGAGACAGGAAACCGGCTCCTCCAATCTCCACCATTGTGGTAAAAAACGGAATGATGACGACTGTTATTACAATTTACTCGTATGATTATTTTTAGCCATTTGAAACAGAGAAGTGTACGTGTGATACGTTGATCGGATGGTTTAATTTAGAACTGCCTTGGCCTGGAAACCCCGAACCCATCACTCTGATTTTGTTTGTAATTTGGCTTTGGTGACATGAGAATTGACAGTGGATTGGAAAGTATCTGGACCTACCAATTAATGATGGTCTCCAACTTCAAACTAACAGAAAATCAACAGTCGTCCTAATTTTAGCAGATAACACTGTTTGTTCATGGTTTTTTTTTTTTTGGTAAAATTTGTTCACGGTATTTTGGATCTAGGGGATTTCCTCAATCCATATTGGAGAGTATCTGGAGTCACCTTGTTGTCACTTGTCACCATTTAGTTGCAGAGATGTAGAAGATAGTAGGGTCCTTCTTGGAGAATGTCTTTTGGCTTTTCTTCCACTTCACTCTTATTTGCAGGGTTAATGAACTAATTAATGGAGTTTAATTAAAGAGTCCATCAGATCAGTGGCTATTGGTATTTAGCTATTATTATTCAACTGCATTTATGCATTCTATGTCAGGTAACCGGGGCCCGGGCCGAACCCCACTAGACTGGACAACGAGGTTGAGGATCGCAGCCGGAGCGGCTCGTGGCATCGCCTATATCCATCACTTTTGCCGTTCGCCGAGAATCTCACACGGTAACATAAAGTCGACTAACATTCTGCTCGACAAGACCGGGAACGCCCGAGTTACTGACTTTGGTCTGTCCATCTTCGCCTCTCCAACTGCCTCGGCAAGATCCAACGGCTACCGTGCTCCCGAGGCATCATCCGACAGTCGGAAGTGCTCGCAGAAGGCTGACGTGTATGCCTTTGGTGTTCTTCTGCTGGAGTTGCTCACTGGCAAATGTCCGTTGGTTGTGGATAATGGCGGGGCGGGAGTTGGTTGTGGCGTGGTCGTTGATCTACCGAGGTGGGTCCAGTCTGTGGTAAGGGAGGAATGGACGGCGGAGGTGTTCGATTTGGAGCTGATACGGTATAAAGACATTGAGGAGGAGATGGTGGGTTTACTCCAGATCGCCATGTCATGCACTTCTAATTCCCCGGATCAACGGCCCAAGATGAGTCATGTGGTGAAGATGATAGAAGAGATAAGGGGAGTAGATTTTTCACCCTCGCATGAGTCATTTGACTCGGTGTCCGACTCGCCTTCCGTGTCAGTATCAGACGACACGGCAACGAGTCATTAATTGCTGATTAGACATAAATAATTAAATACTGACCGTGTTAGGGATAATCAAGTAATTATCATCCCTAATGACTTGGAATGTACCTTTTATTTTGTTGTCTTTTTTTTTCCTTAATTTTAATTTAATTTGTTAACGCGATTGACGGAATATGTTTGTAAAATACGGCCTCCATTAGTTGTGTGGGGTTTGTTTGGTTTATATTTTATAGTTGTTTGAGTGAGACTGATGAGGTACCTGGGGAGTGTTTGGTCTGGCTACTACATGCAAATGAATCTAATACATTTTACTTTTATAGCATTTAGAGGCGCTAAGTTCATCATTTAATGTCACACCAACTTGCCATGTGACCAATGCTCAAAGTATTAAAAGTCACCAGCGACTCTATGACCCACAAATATGAGACTGGGCTGTGTTTTGGCCACCAAGGCTTGTAAATGCCAAGAACCACATGTATACATGTATGAACCTCTTCTGTATATAATATTTATATCTATTTCAGATGAATGAATGTCAGCATCTGTTTTTGTGGGGGAAAAAATAAGTGAGAAAATTGAAATTTGATGGTTTTTTTGCTGTAATATTTTATTATCCTTTTAATTTTAGTAGAATCCCCATTTTAGATACGTGGCTTTCTATTAATTCAGAAAATAGCATTTTAGAAGTGGTTTGATCTTATTTTTAAATAGAATTCAAATCATTTAAAAATTTGAGAATAGTTAACCACGTAGTTTCAAGTTTAACCACATGTGAAACCACTCTTTCAAAAGTGAGGGTAGTTAAATAAAAAAAAATTAACTGACGGTTTCTCATCTTTATAAAAAATAAAACTTAATTTAATATTTAATTAATAAAATGTGGATATTAAATAGAACTGATAAGCATACATGAATAAAAAGAATATATCGGATTTCAAAAAAATAAAAAGAATATATCAAAATATTAACCTGTACTTAATACGGGATCATGCCTATATGCCTAATTTAAATCAAAACAGAGTAGGTGGCGAAAGTTTTTGCATATTTTGATTTCAACTTTTTATAGAGAAACAAGCACAGCCCAAGAGACTATAAGTAGGGGAAAGCAACAAGTTCAGCATGTAGAAATAATTGCCAACTTTACAAGGATATATGTTCATTGTATTGATTTGGACAGCGTTAGGAAGAGCAATCTCTTAGAAAGCTCTTCAGTGATAATGAAAATCAGATGGAGTTAGTCAGGCTAATGTTTTATCCATGAAACATGATTTAGCGTCTCCACATTGCAGACGCTCCCGTTTTAAATCTTCAAACGAAGACATCTCCCAAAATACGAGGAAAGATTATTAACCCAACAGTGTTAGCTAGCTAGTAAATGAATTGACTACTTGACCAGTCACGATTTAGTCCAGTGAGTAGTAAATGAGTTGGCTCCAATAGTTCTAGGTCATAGTCATCATACAACCCTTACCCCAAATTATATGCGTCAGCTACATAAATTCTGTTTGTCCATTCCTTCCTGTTTAATGCGGTATTCATTGTTAAAAAATGAGACACCATGATACATAGAGAATTTACAGGCCACTTGATGTATTTATGGAGTTCTTCCTCTCTTTTAGTGCCACCGGAAGGAAGGGGTCAGGAGAAGGGGGGAGTTGGTGGTGAGAGGGGGGTTCCCAGTTCACACTAGGAGACAAAGAAGTGTGATTTTGTCCCATTTGTAGAATCACATGTAGACTGTTTGGACCATAGCGCAGCTCACCATCCCTATCGTCACCTCAACCACCAATGTCATTTCTTTATATATTAAATAATTTTCCAACTTTTCTGTTGATTTCTTTACTTGGACAACAAACCAGAGTTTGTTGTAATCCATATATGGACATTGCAAGCTCTGAATTGAGGGGCTCGACCTCTGTTTGGAAATCGACTTATAACAATTGGAATAGATATCTTTTTCCCACAATTGTTCATATAAATATTAGATAATGCATTATTTTCCACAACCATTTTATGTGGGAAAATGCATATTTTTTCCGCACAACTGTGAAAATCAATAAATCATAAAATGGTACAGAAAATACATTTTGGGAGTATTTACTATTTAGGCGTCTGTTTGACATCAACGCCGTTGCTCTAGAAACGGTGACACATCAGCATCATATAGGAAAAAACGGTATTCCAGGAAATGCCAATTTATTTGAAATCGTTTTTCTATAAAAAGTGGTACAAATCGAGAAGGCATAGGTTGGAACGTCAAAGTTGACGTTTTCTCAAATTGCAACTCATTGCTGCTAACGAGAATGTTATGGTAGTGACGTGGATTTCCTATAGTGAATATCAGTGCTGTGCTGAAAATAAATATGGAGCACTAGTGTCAAATAGAAAGTGTTGTTGCTCCAAAAAACACCCTACCTAGCAACAATGTTTCCAAACAGAAAAAAAAGACATCATTTTCTAAAAAAACGATGCTTTCAATTCACACATCTGCAGCATCGACGCCAAACATATACTAGATTTTTAACATTGAAAGTGTCAACAGTGACATATTATTTTATTATTGATATACATTTTTCTTTACAGTGCTGTTCATAAATCAAAGAAATTGCCTATATTTTGCAATAAACTAAATGTTGAAACATCAATAAAATAATAAAAAGATAAATAGAAGAGAAAACATTAAAGTAAAATTGGCCCAACAATTGGCTTCTTCAAAACTGGATCCCGTATAACTTTGGTTGGTTTTAAAACCATAACTTGAAGTTATCAGGAAGTTTCACATTTTGTATTAAAACATCGATCAGGACAAATTTGAGCTCCATTTCTGCATCCTCCGTTTTTATCTAGTTTATCTTCTAGTGGCACATTTGATTCTTTAATAGTCATGTTGTAAGGTACATGAATTCAATTAACACATGCTGACATGTAGGTTTTGGATCTAGTACCGTGGTACGCAGTGATCCAACCCCACGAGATTCATAGGGCAAAGAAATTCTGGTCCTGGCCTTTGAATTCTAACCACCGTATTCATTGTAAATAAAGAGAGTAATTTTCCTCCTCTCCTTTCTTAGAATTTATCTTTTTTTTTTTTTTACATGTCTTTATTTACATTTCTATCATTAATTTTGCTGGTGTGAGCTTGTCTTACATTGTCTTGATAAAGGAGCAGGGTTGTGTGAGATTGACAACCAATTCTAAAATTTTTGCAAACTCTCGTAGTCATAAATTTTAAAACGGGATTCATGCATGTAGCCAATTCAATATAATTTATGGATTTAAGAGATAGGTTATCCCATTGTATGCCCCATGGAGCCAAAACATTAAAAAAAGAAAAAGAGAAAAATATATAATTTAGACAAGGCTTAGATGATGATATGCACATTTTCATCAATGAGGCGAGATTTATTATGACATGTCTGTTTTTGTTCACCTATCTTTGGGAGGATTTATATATATATATATATATAGGGGATAGTCCATTCTCCAACTCATAATCACCTTTCAATCCAGATGCAAGTAAGGATAGCAATTTTCTCTATCCCCGACGGGAATTAATCTTCCCCAATTCCATCGGGTTGGGGATGGGGACAAAAATTAATAGAATCCCCGATTGGGATCGGGGTCGGGAATGGGGATTGAGGTCCCCGCTTTTCCCTTGACCCCGATTATATATATATATATATATTAAAACATATTTAAAACATTATTTATAATTTAAATTTTTTATTTATTTTAAATAAATTTATTTTTTCAAAAAATACTATTATCTAAAAAAATTTTAGGAATTCGGGTCTGCAGGGAACCCATCCCCATCAGGGATCAGGGATGGAGGAAAAATTTTATCCCCGACGGGGATTGGGGACGAGGATGGGGGGGGGGTTAATTTCAGAATCGGGGTTCCCGTTGCCATTCCTAGGTGCAAGCGGGATTTGATCCAAAGTTCCGCTACAACCAAGAGGATACCTTACCAACCATAACTTTATTTCGTGAGCTTCTTATAGAAACTCGTAAACATTTGTATAGTTATGGGGATGAACAATATCATCCTAAAAGTTATTTCAAACTTTATTTTTTAAGATTTCTAATTAAAACTTAAATTTTTAAAATAGGGCAATTTGTTGACCGAAGTTTCTGAGCATTGCTGAAACTTCTCCTGAAGTTTAGTTTAGTAAGTGCAATCACTTCCTCTGAACTTTATGATACAATTGTAAATAGATCCCATTTGTTAGAATCCTCTAACAATAGCCATGAAAATGTCCAAAATACCCATAAAGTTAATAATGAGACTGATTTCTATGAAAAATAAAAAAAAATAGAAACTTTATGAACAATAATAAAAAAAGAGAAATTAAAATTACAATTTTACCTTTGAGTGATTGATATGAAGGGAAAATTTAGAAAATAAATTAATTTCAGAAAATATATTGAAAGGGTTTGAGGTAGTGTTTCATATAACGAAAAAATTTAGAAAATAATCATTTTTGCCAAAAATAACTTCATAAATATTTTAAATATTCTCATGACTCTTTTTAGAAGATTCAATGGAAAGGGGTCTACATAAAAATATATAATAAAATTCAGGGGAGGTAATTGTAATTGCGAAAGGAGGTTTCAGCAACAAACAGAAATTTCAAGAGAAGTTTCAGCAATTTACTCTTTGAAATAAGATTCGAGCAATTAAGAATATAATTTTAGTATCTTATATATACTGCTTATTAAATAAAGCAACCTCCCAATATTTATCTAAACTGCAGAACCAATTGAGCAGGGTTGAAGGTGGAATGAAGTGCGTTTCTTGCTTGAAATTTTAGGTAAGGTGGGCTATGTCTTCTCCCGTAATTCACTTCCCTTTTGATAAGGGTTGATAAATAAATTATAAGGTTGGCAAGAAACAACAGACATGGTAGTTAGTAGAAAACTTACTTGTGCCAACCATCACCCATGTCACATCTCTAAAATAACTCCACGTGTCTCCCCCCTTCATGTAACTTTTACATGTACATGCAGTAGTACTGTACCTTCTCTTCCGGTATTTGTATGTATTAACAATCAATAATTGATTTCTTGAGGTAAAAACAAGTAACAATTGTTTGATAATTGGTTTCGAAGCTAATTAATTCCGTGGTAAGAGATGTTGCATAGCCCATCCCCATCGTTAAAACCCTCTCACGGTGGCAACAGGAATAGATCCTGCTTCCCCGCTATGCCATGGTTGTAGATGAACCAACTTGGCAAAAAAGAATTGAGGTAGGTGAAAGATGGTACAAAATTTTCATTAGTTTTTTAGATGTAAAATTTGAGCTGCCAATAAATGCAAGAGAC